CATGAGTAAAATACGGTATATCTTTCGGTCCACTTTGTGATGGCTATATGATTATCTGCTCTATGCAATAGACTGGCGTAGTTTCACGAAACGTAAAACTTGATCCTTTTATTCTATTGCCGAAGACCTTATTTTGGAAACGCGCCGAATTCATAGTACGTTCATTTCGAACCGAGTATTGGATTCGCGGGCACAGATAGCAGGGAAATGCGGTGCGATTTACATACACAACGAATCTAACATGGCGTCCCTACACCATTAGCGGGGCATTGTGTGGAAATGATAATTAAGCTAGTATATGAGTCTACACTGTACATGTCATGTGACGGTAAATACACATACGAAAACCGACAGCGTCATTGTATGTCATGGTTGCAATTATAATATAATGTTTTGAAAAGAGAGGGGAGGGGAGAGACGCGGCAGTGGGCGGGGAAGGGGGGATATATATATATATTATATTTGTGTGTGTGTGTGCGGTGTGTGCGTGTGGTGTGTGTGTGTGTGTGTGTGTGTGTGCGTGCGTGCGTGCGTGCGTGCGTGCGTGCTGCGCGTGCGTGCGTGCGTGGTGTGCGTGCGTGTGTGTGCGCTGGCGTGCGCGGTGCGTGCGCTGTACGTGTGGACGTGCGCTTGTGTGTGCTGAGTGAGTCGCTGTGAGGCTGCGATAGGTGAAGAAGGAGAACATCGAGTTACAGTGGTTGCCACGGTGACAGTCCAGATATAGTTCCAGCGATGAAAACGCAAAAGTGTAGTTAAGAATATTACCCTCAGAGGGTATGACGACTTATTAGAATGAAATTACATCTAAATAACATGAATTAAAACACTAAAAAAACGAAACCACAGCTGCCACAGTGTCTTGTAGAAATATATACTTCAAATAACATTACGAAATGAAGTCAAGACTTTACCATCAGATGACGAGTAACCATCGGAATATAAACAGTAAAAGCTAGGCGGCAGTACGAGCACAGGTTTATGACTTCGACACGCAGCTATACTATATGCGGTAGCATTTCCTTTTATCAGAAGGTTTTCTAAGCATACATTGTAAGCACGAGCGTAGCGTGACATACTTGCGACGACAGCTCTGCCGCATTCAGGAAATGAGATACGACGACAGAATATTGGCAATTGGCGATGAATGCCATTTTTCAATTTCTTCGCCGGCGTTCCCTCGCCCAATATGTTTCACTCGTGCCTGCATTGAGGACAGCCTAGATTCCACAGAAACCCAAATAATACCCGCCTTATAACGCTTCTTACCTCGCAAAATGTCGCTACGTGATTAAAAGAAACCATCCATAAGTCCAGTGCAACTGCAATTATATGCGAACGCTCGTTTAGAAACTAGAATAATTTCTAGATGAACGCGTACGCGTGCACGGGTGCCAGTTGTTAATTGCGCTGGTTTACGATTTTACGGTACGCATGACTACATACATACACATGCGATGAAATAAAATCTAATAAAATGAAATGAATCATTACGCTAACAAACGCCTATACAACCGCAATCGTACACGCCTCGCTACACAAACTTTCAATATTTTTTTATTACAAAATTTATTCAACATCTAATTACCTTAATTCATCAACGCCAAATTTCCACTCGTACTAGAAAAAATCTATACAGTAGATATGTAGAGTCGAGACTATTTGAATGTTAATTTTAAGCCGATCGCAACATTTAACACACTATAGGACCGTAACCACCGTGGATGGAGAGAGAAATTGGCAGCTGCCCCCTAAATACTCTAGAGAAAAATATCTGATCGATTTAAATAGCCCTAATGTGATGTAACGTCATAATTAATAGAACAAACTTAATTTCCTTCAGCTTAATCTCATTCTACGAGTCGTTTGTCTTTCAACGGTAAAAAACGCATTCCCTCGTCATCACACATTCAGGAGACGACATTTTGCCTCCCTTTTCTAGAAATTTCTTCAGACTATGGCCCTGTATATACTAACGTGTGCTTGCGATGCTTACGTGAGCGGAAGCGAGCATTCGGCAAACCTCCAACGAATCCTTCCTCGCCCGCCCCTCACTCGTATTATAGTTAGACGCGGCTACGAAGCCGACCGAGGTTAGCAGAGTGCTGAGATGTGTCATGGCAGCCATGTTGCTGGTAACGCGCACACCTCACACCGCAGAGATGTATCACGCGCTACCGGCAGCCATGTTGCCGACAGAGCGCACACCTCTCCGCGGAGACCTGTCATGGCAGCCATGTTACCAGCAGCGCGCACACCTCTCACCGGAGACCTGTCACGCGCCACCGGCAGCATTTACCGCGTTCACACGGTAATGGTTTGGCTCGAGCTAAATGGGCTAAATTTGGCTCAGGCTAAATTTGGCTCGGGCCGGTTTGAGTCAGAGCGTTCACACGTACGCAAGCGAATACTGACTCTCGCGAGATGGCGTTATGCACGATTCAGTGTTTACATCCATTCCGAGTTCAATTATCAATCTTGAAAACATGCATCCTGAACAAATTTTTCGAATTTTTATACTGTTTTGGACTTTACTTCGTTGAAGTACGCGTTCGACACTCGCGACATCTACCGCTCTACCGATTTAGCTGGTGCTAAAATTTGGCTCGGGCCTGATCAGACGTTTTCGATGGGACCAAATTGGCTCGTGCTAACTCGGCACGGCCCCGAAAAACCGTCCGTGTGAACGCTCGGCTCGAGCCAAATTTGGCGCGGGCCTCATTAGGCTCGGGCCAAAAACGTCCGTGTGAACGCGCCTATTGTTGTCGGCAGCGCGCACACCTCTCACCGCAGAGATGTGTCACGCACTGCCGGCAGCCATGTTGCCGGTAACGCGCACACCTCACACCGGAGTTGTATCACGGCAGCCATGTTGTCGGCAGCGCGCGCACCTCTCCGCGGAGACATATCACGCGGCTCCCACCACGCGCTAGCAGCGACACCTACGCGTCGGCTTCATCCATCATGTCTCGCTCCTTGTAGAATATCTCCTCTTCGTCGTCTCCATCGAAGATGAGCAAGATGGCGGCCGTGAATAGGACGAGGGCGGCCGCCCAGCCGATGCCGTACGCCCAGCCGAACTGCCAGTGCTGCCTGTGCAGCGAGTGCATCTCCTTGGAGAACATGCTCGGGAACACGACGAGAGCTATCAGCAGGAACATCACTGCAATTCGCGGGAGAGAGGGGGCGCTGGTTAGATACGTATATATACATATAGGTATATACGTGTGTGTGTATAGATAGATAGATAGATAGATAGGATAGATAGGCTATATAGGATAGATAGATAGATAGATAGGATAGATAGGCTATATAGGATAGATAGATAGATAGATAGAGCGCGAGAGAGAGAGAAAGAGTGAAAGATAAACAGATAGACAGAGAGAGAGCGAGCGAGAGAGTGAGAGAGATACGGACAACAATTATCTGGATAACACTAACTATTCGTCGGCCAGCGCACTGCACGAATACCAGTACTTAACCACGGCCAACAGTTACCTAGATCACGTTATATCCGGATCGGAAGCTGATATTTTTAATAAGCGCGTAAACGCGGTTACACAGCGACGTACATGAAAGTCGGCTGCCACGCATGAAAACCACGCGCAAAGTCACAAACCGCCAAACGACAGCGACATCGTTAATCGATATTCACGCGCGTAAAGAAAAGCCTCGCGCACGTGCGCGTGATGCGGCTCGCGTTACGGAACGCCGGCTCGCGTTACGGAACGCCGGCGCGCGTGCGCGCGATACGCCTCGCGTTACGGAAAGCCCGGCGACGCGCGCCCGTGGTACGCCTCGCGTTACGGTACCCCCCCCCCCCTTCACGCTCGCGTGCGCTTCGCGTCACGGAAAGCATGCGCGCGTGCGCGCGATACGCCTCGCGTTACGGAAACCCCGGCGACGCGCGCCCGTGATACGCCTCGCGTTACGGAAACCACGGCGACGAGCGCCAGTAATACGCCTCGCGTTACGCAAGCCCCGGCGACGCGCCCGTGATACGCCTCGCGTTACGGAAACCCCGGCGACGCGCGCCCGTTATACGCCTCGCGTTACGGAAACAGCGGCGACGCGCAGCGACTCTCGCGTTACGAAAACCCCCGGCGCGCGTGGGTGCGCCTCGCGTTACGGAAACTCTTGCTCACCTCCGAACAGCATGACGAACATGGACACCTTATAGAAGTTGCGCTTCAGCTTCGGGTCCTTGGTGCAGAGTCCGACGAAATTTTTAAGTTTGTGAAGAAAATAATAAGGGTAGCAACAAATGCTTGATACTGGTAATTCTTCTAATGCTACTTTTTCAGCGTAGTTGAATACATTTTTCTTTATTCTTCAATCCTCCAAGAAAAAACTACCTCACATGTCACGCGAGTCACATTTATGGGCTGTCACGCGAGTCACCTGCCTGCACTGTTAATCATTGTGAGATGAATGATGTCTTTTTAAACAAATATTCAATTCGGGAAGTAAGCACTGACATGTAGAACTACTTTGAACATAAAACCACATAAAAGTTACATAAAGTTTAGTCTTCCAAATTCTGATTACCTTAACATTTGTTAAAGCTATGAGCTACTATGTCACGCGAGTCACAGAGTAGTGTCACGCGAGTCACATACTTAGGAGGATGTCGCTCACTTCAGATGAGGTGTATTGCAGTGCAAATGATGCATGGAGTGATCAAGGGTATTGGGTACCTAGTTCACCAGGTATACCTCAGATCAACCTTATAGTATTCTACGAAAAGTCTAAAGTGTGAAGTATACTTCAAAACACGTGTTAGTAGCCGGTCACGAGAGTCACGCACAATAGTTTGTGATATCAGAGAAAATATTAGTGTAGCTGCAATAACTTCAATGCTAAAATATGCATAACTGGTACCTTTGCTAAAATATTTTTTTTAAACAAGTAGCAGCATGCTAATAGTAATATAGGCCTGCCAGACCATTTAAAGTTTGATTTTTGTAGAAATGTCACGCGAGTCACAGTGGAATGGCTGGCTGACCACATGATGATCAAGTGTATGAAGTTTGATTGGAATCTCTTGAAAACTGTAGAAGTAGTTTATGCTACAAACTTTGTGCAATGGCGGGGGTATAATCAAAGATGAGATACAGTTTCCATGGCAACGGCTTGACCGATGCGCACAAAAAATATGTCACACACATCTACATTTCATGGTAATCAAGTGTATGAAGTTTGATTAGAATCCCTTGAAAACTGTGGAAGTAGTTCGCGCCACAAACTTTTTGCAAAGGACCGCCCGACCGACCAACCGTAAAACATACCCCCTTCAAACTTCGTTTGCGGGGGTATAACAAACCACACCCTGCAGGGCAAGCCAGGCCTAGAGCTTCTTGAAATATGTAAGACAGTTCTAGTAAGACACTAATAATAACATGTAACAGTCTTGGAAATAAGTCTGGAAACACAGCCAGTCCTGATTTCTAAAATTTCTACTACATTTAATTTTAAGTCAGTAAAAAAACAGAGAAAATAGCCAATCCTAATCAAAAGTTACCAGTCCCAGATGGGGAGACGGGCTGCTATATCCAACACTGCCTACAGTATTATTATATATATATACAACTCACTGGATCTGTCAGCATGGCCTTGGCGTGTGACGCAACAGCCAGAAAGCACAAAATGTTGAAGATGATTCCATTTATCCATCCGTACACTGGATACGGGCCGGGAATGAGCATAACAAACAGCACTACAAATTCAGCGTAGAGCAGCAGGCCGTACGTGAACACGACGCAGACGATGCCGCAAATGTCACGCACGCACCATACACGACCGCTCATGCACGAGTTCATGTCATCCACCACCTCCCTGTCCTGGTGACTCCGCCGTGACGGGCGAATTACTGGCCCTGACGTGTCGCTGACGTCAGCGACTCGCCTGAAAATGCAAAAAAATGTTGCTACTAATCTGAGCCATTTCTTCCCGTACGATAACTAGCATGTTTTTAATTTCCATGCTAGTTATCTAGCCACACACTTCATTTGTATCAATGTATCATGTATGCATCAAATTTATTGAATGTAACAAAACAAATCAAAATATCAGAAATCACATTATTCATGTTGTCAAGATGCAATTTATTTCACCTAGCTAGTGGTAATGTGTGTTCGTGTGCGTTTGTGTGTGCATGCGCGCGCATGCGTGTGTGTGTGTGTACTGTGTGCGTTTGTGTGTTCATGCGCGTGCGTGTTTGTGTGTGTGTGTGTGTGTGCACGAGCACATCTTTCATGTTCAGTGTAAGTATTCATTGCATGAAAGCCACCATATATACGTGGTGCGATCATCATATATACAAGCGACCATTTGAATTGTTTGGAAGCAGATATATATGTAACAGTGCTTGCTGTTTACTCAATTACCGCTCGATCTGGCCCTATCATAGTTTAGCAGCCCAGGTTAGTTTAGCAAATATGCGAAAACACATTTGCGAGGTCCCAAACTAGGATTGTGCACTCAATCCTAGTAGTTCTAAAATAATGTATTATGTAAGCCTGATGTCAAGGTTTATGGTTCTAAGTGATATGGCACATGACCACAGCAATGTAATGCACAAGAGTTTTCCTTTTTTCCGTTGTAGTGATATGTTCTTTTAGACATGTTTATAGCAATAAATGGCGCAACCGTGCATACGCGGGGCATATCAGCTGATTTTGTTTATCGTTACGTGGAGGTTTGACACAACGGCTTTGGGCGCCGCCGGAGAATGTCCTGACTTGAGTGTTTCCAATAAAGTACCCACATTTATAAGCCTTATTGAACGGTGTTGTTGCGTTGTTCCTTGACAATTTCACCTCACTTCAAGACAATAGGGTTAGGGTTAGGGTTAGGGTTAGGGAGTAGGCGTAGGCGACTCCCTAGACTTGTTAGTGGAGTAGGCGAGGTACGGTCCGGCATATTAGATAGTACCAGAGTACGTTCCGGCAGTACCCTGGGGGACATAGACCCTCTCAGACTAGCTTACCCTACCTGTCAAATCTGCGATCCGCAAAGGTGCGTGCAATCAACACACAAATTTCTATAGTTTCCTGTCGCAATTGCGCAACGATTGAATAATCAGGCTCGCATATTTTCGGCTATATGTGCCCGCTTCCTCCCTGTACGTACATACATAAATACGCCCACAAACATTGAAAACCGACGGACAGTACGACTGGTACTAGCTCTAGTACTATAGCCCGCGTTTATTAACTGCGGCAGTTAATGAACGCGGGCTATAGTACTAGAGCTAGACTGGTACAGCACTCGTGTTCACAATGCCACTGTCTACGTTCACGTGTGACAGGAACAAGGGGGGGGGGAATACAATTTATCTGATGTTATACACACTAATGCGGACTTGCTGCAGTGAACCTTCACGGGTCCACCTGTTAACGTCGCTAACACGAGAGGCTCATAATAATAATAGTGTTCGCAGCATCGACAACAACATTGCATTACTGCCGAGAGTTATAACTATGTAAAAGGTTGCGAGTCGTAATCCGGTTATTTCGAAGTCCCACGTGTGCGGGTAAAGTGCGAGAGTACGCGTTGTCTGCCGCATTGAAGTGACGATCTCAGCTTATATGCTGCTAGCAACATTTTATTTTATATAAAACTATAAACTATGAAAACACGGTCGCGCGATTTTGTTTGCGGTTTATGGTTAAACGGCTTACTATTACGTGTATTTTCCCGTTTTGTTCGATTTAAACAAACAGACACTCGAGATTTCACAGATTTTCAATAGTCAGGAATTTCGTTACCAACAAAAAACAAATCGCTAACGTACCACTGTTATAGTGTATTACGTTACTACTACTAAACGCACGTTATACACCTTATGCTCACACTACAAAAAAGTGAGATAGCGAGCATACACACTCACATATATACATACATACATAATAACAGGAGTCTATCAATATTACTATTATTATTAGACTATTATATACTATATTCTATATATATTATATACTATATAAGAATACTATATATATATATATATATATATATTAATATATATATATATATACTAATATATATATATATACATATATAACGGGCTATCTATGTTATAAAGACTTTCCTTACGCACGTTTGCACGAGCATACACACCCACATATATACATACATACATAATAAGGGAGATGAAAGAGAGACAGAGAGAGAAGAAGAGCAAGAGAAAGATAGAATTATTATTAACACAACCAGCAAAAATCACGCGTATGTATTCAGGTAATCATTCGCATACAGATAAGGTCATACGATACACATCACGGCACGCATCTCCACATATTACATATGGATAAATGGACAAATGGATTCAAGCATACAAGAAACCGCATGTGCGATTCGCGCTCAACCCAAGATGCTAATGGAGCAGGCAAATGGAAGAAGTGTTCTACGGGGGGCTGCCACTACTACGCTTCATAATGGAAGCCCCCCCCCTCCCCAAAGTAGCAGGCGACGACGAGACAGGCTACAGTAGTGTGCATGCCAGAGAGAAGAGAGCGCGCGAGAGAGACGTTAGCAATGCCATGGTGGGGAGTAATTTTGGGGACGTGACGATGTCTATGCGATGCGACGGGGTTGCGCATCTGGGTAGAGAATGGGTCTGCATACCCAGAGTACCGCCACACAGGACGTGCCGGTAGGTGCGGCCTAGTAGTTAACCGATGGAAGATAGAAAGAGAGAGCGCGAAAAAGAGCGAAAGAGGCGAGAAGGGGGAAAGAAATTGAGAGATAA